AAAGTCAACACAAGAGCCTGAGCCGTAAGGTTGGTAGAAAGAGGAACACTAGCAGAGGCAACAGAAGGAACGACAAGCAGCTCGACAATCATAGAAGTAGAAGCTGGGGTAGAATTGAGAGTTGTAGATGTAGCCGGAGTAGCAGAAACCTCTTGGGCAAGGACCTAGGCATTAGAGGTAGGTACCTCAGTACCTTCAGGAGCAAGTTTAGAAGCAAAGGGAACTAAAGCCCCAGCCTCTTTCTCAACACTTGGCACCTCCTCCTCCTCTTCTAAAAGGGGTTTAAAGTCAAAATCCAAGTCTGGATACGCCTGGATAGGTTGGCCTTGGAAAGTAAGGTATCTCGTAGCCCACTTAGTGGTGACATTATTTGCCAGCTTAACAACCAGAGCATCTTTATATTTAATAGCAGCTCTCTGTCTCAAGTTCACTCCGAAGAGTGTCATTTGCTTTAGCCAGAATGTCATATTCCCTTTTGATGCCTGAATAAGAATCCAAAGCCTCGAAGGCCTCCTTGCTAGATTTAACCTAGTTAGCAATTTTCAACCTGTGCTTTTCTTTGGTTTTCTTGAGCTCCTCCTCAGTCTTCTTAGCCCCATTTTTGATCTCCTATTTCTCAGCCTCCAAACCTTTAATAAGAAAATTTTGCCTCTCCACATGCGCCTACATGTCCTAGACCTGAGCTTTGAGGTCATCATTTGCAAAAGACAGCTCAATAGCTTTGAGTTCAAAAGCCTTTGATGCCCTGGAAGAGCTCTCCAAAGCTCTGATCCGACATAGCAAACTACTCACGGGAATATCCAACAATGAACAGATACAACCAAAGGTTAAAGTTAACATAAAACAACAACACAAGATAGAGAGGGAACATGAAAAGATCATAAATTTTATCGATTTAGCCCCATACAGGGCCGTGGAGATGGAAGTTCCAAGCGGTATAGTGGCAACCCTTTGAATGTCAGACTCAGGAGTAATAGAGGCAATGACATCCATAGTATGTTTCACGTTATCGATAATGGAGCCCTCGCCTTTCTCAACCTTGGAACCCTTCAAGAATAGCTGATGGGACTTCTTAGCCGACCTAGGGGAGATAGACCTGGGCAAAATACGGGCGAATGCCTCTAAGGCTTCCTTGACCTCTACCGAGGAAGGAGAGGTCAGAATCGCACTTTGTTCAGGATCCCGTCCAGAAGGGGGACACAGTCCTTTAAGGAAGGGAGGTATGTATAATCTTTGGTGAACTCGTGAAGGAAAACTATTTGGGGCGAAGGGGGAAAGCAGGAGGCATCTCTGTCCTCGGTACCTTGGTTAGGAGTTCAGAACAACTTCCTGATCTAACCTTGGCCTTTCGTTTATTGCTTCTGGTCCTCTTTAACAGGTCAACCTTTGCGTTAAAATCCTTCGAAGTAGGTTCCATTGAGGAAGAACCTGGAAACCCAAAACAAGCAAATCAAAAAGGAAGAAGGGAGGAGTGAGATAAAAGTTAGGGATAGAAGGAGGAAGTAGTACCTACCGCCTCCTTTACTCTAGTAACAAAAAAGGGAACAAGGGTCTCAAACCTCACCTCTGGAGGACTAAACCGTAGCTTGGTAAGCACAGAATGCTTAATCAGGCTAGAATATTTCTCTGGGTTATAATCTTCAAGCCTTACCAAAGCAAACCTGTCCTCGGCTCCCAGTTTAGGGCGAACACCTAAAACAACCCAAAGGAATGAGGTTAGCAAATGAAGCAATAAGAGGCGACAAGTTAAGCCTGCTCAAAATAAGGACTCACCTAGATTATCAGGACCTGCTCAGGAGCATGGGACAGGAAGAGTATCATTGACATCGCTTGAATTAAATACTCAATCCTTCTCTACCAAGAAGAGGAACTATTTCTTCTAGTTCTTATAAGAGCTGGACAGGTCAGTGATTAGTGCCGGGGTCTTCACCCGTTTAGAAATATACAAGAAGCCATCAGGCTAGAACTTGATGTTGAAGAATTTCATGAGCAAGAGAACTAAAGGGGGTCTGGTATCATTTTTCTTAAAAAAAACAAGGAGGCCCACCAAAACACCCCAGAAGTTAGGAGAGATCTAAGCAGGACAAACATTGAAGTGTTGAAGGACAGATTTAATGAAGGGATGAATGGGAAACCTAAGCCCATTCTCAAGGGAAGCTACAAAAAAACAAGTATTCTCAAGGACCTCTAAGTGTTACCTAATATCAGTAGGTGGGATCCAATACCACATACCCTCAGGAAAACCAAACCTAGTGGACAAGACCATTAGAGGAGGGGTAAACTCATTAGGACCAATGAGGTCTAACGCACGAGAAACAGGCTTAGAGACCTTAACGCTGCTTGAACCCTTTTTGGCTTTCCCTTTTTGAGGCCGCTTACAGCTCGAAGGAGACCCTGATAAAATATGAGGAACCTCTGCCCTCTTTAAGGCTTCAACCCTAGGGAAGTTATCTATTTCATCACTATCATCTCCCAACTTATCCTCCTCCACTTCTAGAGACCTATCACCCATAAGGGAAACAGACAAGATTGAAGCTTTGAAAGAGGCAGACATAATTGGACAGGAGAAAAGAAGTCTGAAAGAGCTGTAAAGGGGGGAACGTTAGCAAAATAATCCTGAAAGTCAAGGGGTCAAGGCAGCAACAACCAATGAGGAAAACGCTAGCAATGGAGTAAGGATCCAGAAAAAGGGGAAGATAAGACAAGGAACAACCTCGATTCCTAAAATAGTAAAAATGAAATTTCCAAAAGTGCAGCAACCACCTCGAATTCGAGGGATCCTGAAGCAAGAAATGAACAAGAGCCAAAAAAATGTACCTAATCGAGAATGGAGCGATAAACCAAGCTCAAAGCAAAATTGGAGACCAAGCCCTGGAGAACCTTCGTGGTCGAATTAGTAGATTAGTTCTCCAGCAAAATCCTAAGATTTTTGACAGACTGAGAAGGCTAAAATAGCAAGGGAAGAGAGGAGGCAAAGCCTAGAGAGAGAAGACGAATGGAAAATTGAGGCAGTTTTCGTTGCCACATGAGTATTTAAAGCTTTGTGTACGTGGGTTTTTGAAGTACCAACGTGCCCTAGAAACAAGGAAGAAATGATTGTGCGAAGCCGTTAGAAAGGTCTCTTCGTGTGCAAATTGAGGTCGCCATATAAAGGCTTAGCTCGACCCAACTGCAGCTCAGCCCCTGCTCAAACCCACTTTGACTAGGGACTTGGGGGGGGGGCAACTGATGATAACTAGAAGAAATTACAAGTTTGAGCTCGGGAGTTGAGGTCAGGAAAGGAGCTCAGCCAAGAGAGCTTGAGCTCAGAGGTCTAGACCATGGACTCCCTCAACCTACACCCCGAAGGAAATTAGTGGAAGACAGCTGGAAGCCACCCCCGAGCTCCTATGAAGTGTGAAACAAAAGATATGGAGGGCTCTCTAAAGGAAGAAATGGATGTTAGGGCCAGTTTGTTGAACCATGTGAAGGTTGAGCCCTCCAACGTGATGACAAAGGCTCGACATCATACGGGGGTCCTGATATTCGTGAGGGTGGTCCGTGGGATCTTTTATCCCATCGAAGATTTCCATTTGGGACATCCTGAACTTTGGAGGGAGGGAAAAGTGCAATACTTCAACAGTAAAAGGGGACTCAGTTTGTTGTAGTAGGACATCCATGGTTACTAGGTCTTGCCTCTTACAGCCTCCTTCATGTTGTTGAGCTCCTGCTAAATATCTTTGAAATGTTGTTCCTAATATTGTTCTCTTCTTTCATGTTGGAATGGGGGGAGTTCATCTTTATGGATTCCCCAATTCTGACTCTGCACCTCTTCATGATCTTCGTTCCTAGGGCTTGAGGGTCATTGCCCATGGTCTGGCTACGTTCTTCTCCATCAGTGATGTTTCGTAGGGGGTTGGCTTGGTGATGTCCCCCTTGTGGAAGATCATCCGGGGCTGGTTGCGCATTCTGGGGTTGTTGAAGGAGATTCAACAATTCCTCATTTTGTTGAAGCAGACGATGGTTGGCTAGGCAAAGGGCCTCAAGCTCGTTATTGAGAGGGTGATTTGTTACAGGAGGATCGTTTTCAGCGATGGGCAGGAAATCACAAGGATTATCTTTATGTCTTCCACTGGAGGCTTCTTGAGGGGTTTGAAATCGTGGGGGATTCATTTGACTTCTACTCAGGTTGCGCGTAAAAAGCATCAATTACTAAAGGAGATCAGTATATTTGTAAAAGGAACAATCGTTTTCACAGACGGCGCTAACTGAAGATGTTCTTAACATGGCTGAGCAATGGTATGAGCGTAAGGTGCACTGAATAGCTATATGCAGCTCTATTTGAGCTCCAAGGCTTACGAGAATAGGATTTTGTAGTTAAGTGGTTGATCTTACAAAGTGTTTATAGTGGTTCACCAGTCCGAGAGTTCGGCTATTTCACTCTTAAGGGAGTCTGTTGATTCTGAATATATATTAATCGCTATAGAATTTACAAAGAGAATATTATTGGTGCTATAATGGCTTGTTGTCCTTCTTTTGAGAGTTCTGCCCCTTATTTATAGCTATTCCTCGGCCTAGCTAGTTTAGGGGCAAGATCTCTGCCTTTCCCTTGTAACGGTTGCCTTAATTGCGCAACAATTGTAGTGGATGTTGGGTGATCTGCGTAATAGTCACCCCTCGGAGTGGTGGAATACAACTATCATTTGCATTGCCTTCCTTGACGCGTGAATACAGGAATTTGAGACTTGAAGTTGAGGTCTGTAAATAATACAAATAAACTGAGCTCCCTCTCTGAATGGTAAAACTTGAGTTGTCAATCTTAGCCTCGAGTATTTTGTAGGTGTCATAAGTTTTATTCCTTGTCTTATTTCTAACTTAAGTACCTGAACGTCCGATCATTGACTCGCTTTGAATCGGAGGACATTTTCTGACATCAACAAAACTGATAATAAAAAAATTTCGCCCATCAAACTATATCTATGAAATTTTCAATTCTTTTTAGGAGAGGGTAATAAATCTTGCGCATCCCACTTGCCGCCGCTAAAACGGTAGACGTGTATGTCTGGCGCAGGAGAAGGGAATAGAGACGCAAGAGGAGTCAGCTAGATGGGAAGACCGAGCAGTTATTCTTCTTTGAACCAGACGGAATGACAAAATGGATGATCATTTTACTACTTCATGCAACGGACAAGCCAGCATTACCAGCTGTGATCATCGTTATCAACCATGCCCTTCCTCACCCCCAGTTCATTTGCCTCACTCGTCGAATCGGCATTGTCGTCTCGCTCCTCCGTCCTTGGTCGAGCCACCCATGCCCAGATCGTCAAGACCCTGGACGCCACACTCCCTTCCTTTCTTTCCAACTACCTTGTCAACATGTATTCCAAGTTCGACCTTCCCAACTCAGCTCAACTTGTACTCTCACTGGCCCCCAACCGCTCTGTTGTCACCTGGACCGCCCTAATCTCTGGGTCTGTCCAAAATGGACATTTCTCCTCTGCCCTTCTCCAATTCTCTGACATGCGCCGTGAATGCATCCAACCCAATGACTTCACCTTCCCTTGCGCGTTCAAAGCCTCAGGTTCGCTCCGGTTGCCAGTCACGGGCCAACAACTTCACGCATTGGCAGTAAAAGCTGGTCAAATACAGGACGTCTTTGTGGGGTGTAGCGCTTTTGATATGTACTGTAAGACAGGTCTTAGGGAGCACGCCAGTAAGATGTTTGATGAAATGCCTGATAGAAATACTGCGACGTGGAATGCGTATATATCCAATTTGGTGCTCGATGGGCGACCTAAAAATGCAATTTATGGATTTGTTGAGTTTCGGCGTATTGGTAGGGAACCCAATTCCATAACGTTATGTGCCTTTTTAAATGCATGCTCGGACGCTTTGTATTTTTCTCTTGGGCGACAGTTACATGGTTTTGTGTTACGCAGTGGGTCCGTGGCGGATGTCTCGGTTGCGAATGGGTTGATTGATTTTTATGGTAAGTGTCAAGAGATTAGTTCCGTTGAGTTGGTTTTTGGTGCGATTCTGACTCCCAACGATGTTTCATGGTGTTCAATGATTGCTGCATATGAGCAAAATGATATGGGAATGGAGGCTTGCACGGCATTCTTGCAGGCTAGGAAAGAAAATCTTGAACCAACAGATTTCATGGTCTCGAGTGTTCTTAGTGCTTGTGCGGCGTTGGCAGTACTAGAATTGGGCAGTTCAGTCCATGCTCTTGCTGTGAAGGCTTGTGTTGAGGGGAGTGTTTTTGTGGGGAGTGCACTTGTTGACATGTATGGAAAATGTGGAAGTATAGAGGATTGCGAAAGAGCATTTCATGAGATGCCTGAGAGGAATTTGATTACTTGGAATGCGTTGATTGGTGGCTACTCTCATCAAGGGCATGCTGACATGGCATTGGACTCATTCAAGGAGATGACATGCGGCAGGCTTGATGTGGTACCAAATTATGTTACCCTGGTGTGCGTGTTGTCAGCTTGTAGTAGGGCCGGGGCAGTGAAAGTAGGCATGGGTATTTTTGAGTCAATGAGAGGGAAGTTTGGAATTGAACCAGGCGCGGAACATTATGCATGTGTTGTAGACATGCTAGGGCGAGCTGGGCTGATAGAGCGTGCTTATCAGTTTTTAGATAGAATGCCTATTCCTCCAACAGTTTCAGTTTGGGGGGCTCTTTTAGGGGCTTGTAGAGTGCATGGGAGGCCAGAATTGGGGAAGATTGCAGCTGACAACTTATTTAAACTTGATCCACAAGACTCTGGCAACCATGTACTGCTTTCAAATATGTTTGCAGCTGCTGGGCGGTAATTTTACTTATGAAACTAGAGTTCGGCATCACTAGCATCATAGGAAAAGTTTAAGAAGCTCTACAATCTAGTTTTTCTTCTTTTAAACACACTGACTCCATTTATGGATTTCAATTTGTTGGGATTTATCGAATTGATTTCCACCAGCTGATTGTTTAGTTTTACTTACTGGTTAACTACTCCAATAACTAGCATATTCTTACATTTTATAGACTAACCTTGTTATTATATACCACGTTGTCTGCTGCCAATCATTTTGTCTCCATTTACTGATTTTTAATCTTCAATTTGATTGACTATAGAAAGTATGGAATCATAACTTTGGTATGGAAGACCTGGATGCTGTAATATCACGTAAAACTCTAAGGTCATTGTAATTACCTCCTGTACCTGGGTGTGCTGCGCACTCATTAATCATATCCACCATTCAGAATTATCACATGGATGAACGTTGTGGGGATCCGAATTATCACATATCCCCCAAATATGTTAGCCTCTTCTTTTTAACTAATCATTTTGGCAATTAGTGCAGGTGGGAAGAGGCCAACCTTGTGAGGAAGGAGATGAAGGATGTGGGGATCAAGAAGGGTGCAGGGTTCAGTTGGATCTCTGTAAAAAATGTAATCCATATCTTCCATGCAAAGGATACCTCTCACGATAGGAATTCTGAGATCCAGGCAATGCTAGCTAAGCTAAAAGGAGAGATGAAGGCAGCTGGCTACATTCCTGATACCAATTTTTCTCTCTATGATTTAGAAGTGGAAGAGAAAGAATCTGAAGTTTGGTACCACAGCGAGAAGATTGCACTTGCCTTTGGCCTCATTGTCATATCTTCCGGAGTCCCTATAAGAATAACCAAAAATCTTAGGGTCTGTGTGGATTGCCATAGTGCGATTAAATTTATTTCAGGCATCGTCGGCAGAGAAATTGTTGTAAGAGATAGCAATAGGTTTCATCATTTTAGGGATAATAAATGCTCATGTGGGGATTATTGGTGATCTTCGTTACCTGGGATATCTTTTACAATTTTAAACAGGCTGGGGAGCTTTCCCTCCAAAACATTTGTAAGATTTGAACATGGTTATATTTTTAATTTATCTGTGGAGGATGAAGGTGAAAGTTTTATTGGGTGCAAATAATGCTTTTTATTAAATCAATAAACTAGATTACAAGAATATGTATAAGCCAAGAAAATCAAAAAGAGCAATGCTATTGGGACCTAATTTACTGACCTAATTTGCTAACCTAATTCACTATAACCTTTAGATTGACTGTGGAGTTCATTAAACATTGGAAGTTGGTGCTAATCCAATGGTTCTATTGAAGTCACGTCATAATGTCAATAAATTAGGTCAAATTTTTAGGTCCAAATAATATTACTCAATCAAAAAACCCCTAGACAACCCAAAAGACAAATATACCTTATTATAAAATTTATATACTCTCACAACCCCCCCCCCTTCAAACTCAAGATGCGAGCCCGGTGAGTATCGAGAGTTTGTCAATTAAAAATCGAAAACGAGAAGAAGTGTGAGCCTTAGTGAAAAAATCTGCAAGCCGTAAGGAAGAAGATACAAACGGTAAAATAATAGTGCTCAGCTGAAGATGTTGATGAACAAAGTAACAATCAATTTTATTATGCTTCATGTGCTCAAGAAATATTGAATTATGAGCAATCTGGATAGCATTTTTTATTGTCACGATATAGAGGAGTAAGAGAGGATAGAACAACTCCCACATTACTTAAAAACCAACGAAGACAAACTATCTCCATAGTGGTGTGTGTCATAGCATGATACTCAGCCTCAGTAGTAAAACGACAAAGAAATAAGAGAATCACATAGAAAAATACAAAAATCAGTGGTAGACTTGCAATTAGTACTATCCCCCAGCCTAATTAGCATTAGCAGAGGTATGTAAAGTCAGAGAGGAAGTTGATGACAATAATAAGCTCTGAAAATATAGTGTCGCGTACATATCACAAACTACGAAGTAAGCCAGTTCAATGAGTAGTACGATGAGCAGAGACAAATTGACTAACAATATGAACTACATATACAATATCTGGGCGAGTAACGATAAGATAAATCAAACAACCAACTAATTCACGATACAATGTAGGATCATCAAGAAGAACACCATTAGAACTTGAGAATTTGGCATTTAATTCGATAGGATTAGCGATCTTATCATCTGTTAAGTTGCTGCGGTGAATAAGTTCATTGGCATACTTAGACTGGGATAAAAGGTAGCCTTTATGAGAAGAAGCAACCTCAATACCCAAGAAATAACGTAGATGACCCAAATCCTTCATCTCAAACTCAAATAAAAGATAGTGCTACACTTTGTCAGTAGCAACAATATGAGAACCAGTGATAATCATATCATCCACATACAATAAGAGAAGAACTAATCCATGGGTAGAATGAAGAACAAATAAAGTAGGATCATGAGCACTAGAAATAAAACCAATCTGAGTAACAATAGATTGAAAACGTTCATACCAGGCTCTGGGGGCTTGCTTTAGACCATAGAGAGCCCGACGCAAGCGACAAACACAACAAGTAGGATGAGAAAGACCAGGAGGTGGGCGCATATAAACCTCTTCATTGAGATATCTATTCAAAAATACATTTTTAACATCAAGTTGAAATAAAGGCCATCAATGAACATTTGCAACAAAAATCAGAGTACATACAATAGTCATTTTGGCAACCGGAGTAAAAGTTTCCACATAGTCAATACCAGATTCTTGAGAAAACCCCTTTAGAAACTAACCGAGCTTTCTAACGCTCAAGGGGGCCATCAAAATGAGCCTTAACCTTGTAAACCCATATACAACCTACAACATTTTTACTTGTAGGCAAAGGAACTAAATCCCAAGTACCAGCCTTATCAAGAGCAACCAATTCATCATGCATTGCATTAATCCAATTAGGATTAGTACAAGCCTCTATAAGATCGAGGTTCAAAATACAAACGAATATAAGGAAGAAAAGCACGATATGAAGGAGAAAAATAAGTATCAGAAAAACCAAGTCTCGTAGGTGGATTATGAGTGCGAATAGGATACCTTCATTCAGGTTGTGCATAGTCTATTGGATCAGAGCTGGGCCCATTAGAGCTTATGCTCACACAATGTAGAAGATGCAATTATTTTTCGAGAATAGACCAAAGGATAAGAAAAGGTAATAGAAGCTTGAGAAGAAGAAGATAAAGAAGAACCATTGACTGAAGAAGGAAGACCAAAAATGTCAAGAGAGGGGATAAACTCTTCATAAGACTCATCCAAAGGAAAAGGGTCAATACGCACAAGTTCATCCCTGGAAATATAGGATATTTGAGAAGGAATCAAGAAATATGGAATCTCAAGAAAAACAACATGCCGAGAGACATATAACTTTTTAGACATAGGATCATAACACCGATATCCCTTTTGATTGATACCATACCCCAAGAAAACACATAAAACAGAACGAGCACTTAAATTATTTTGCTCACGCTTAGGAAGAAGAACCAAACAGGCCGAACCAAAGACACAAAGAAGAAAGTAATTGGAAAGTTTCCCAAATAGTTTTTCATAAGGAGAAACACTTCATAGAAGTGGGGTGGGCATACGATTTAATAAATAAACCGCTATAAGAATAGCTTCACCCCAGAAGACAGAGGGAACAAATGTAAAAGCAAGAGAACACGAGCAGTTTCAAGAACATGTCTATGCTTCCGTTTAGCAACACCATTTTGTTTAGGGGTACCTGAGTAAGATGATTGATGTATAGTGCCACATGCATAGGAAGTCAGTGATGTCTTTCAACCAATATACACCATCCATCAGAACAAATAACTTTTATATTAGTAGAAAATTGAGTGTGAATCATAGAATGAAAATTGCGGTAAATTTGAGAAAAATCAGATTTATGTGCCATCAAATATACCCAATAATAACAACTATAATCATCAATAAAATAAACATAATATGTAGAGCCACCTTTAGTGGAAATAGGGGGAAGGTCCAGATACATCAGTATGAACAAGAGAAAAAGGCAAAGCAGACAAAAAGCACTTTTATTAAAGGTAAAGTGGACATCTTGACAAGTTTACATCCACTACAAGCAAAGATGTCACTTGGAGATACATTGACCAATATACTAGAGGAAATTAAACTCTTTAGACACTCACTAGACAAATGAGCTAACCTAGAATGCCACAAATAAAATTGGGATGAATTATTTTGTAGGCAAAAAGGAGACAACTTGGGAGAACCAGATTCTAAAGGAATATGTAAGTGCTCTAAAATGTATAAGTCACCAGGTCTACGCCCAGTCCCAATCTAGTTCTTAGACTTCTAATCCTAAACAACACAACCATAAGAAGAAAATACAACATCAAATCCTGAATCAGAGAGTTGATTAATCAACAATAGACTAACAGATAATTGTGGAACATAAAAAATATTTAGGATAGAAAGAGAGGAGAACAAAGAGGGAATAATAGATCCAACAGAAGTAACTTGGATTGGGGAACCATTAGCTATAACAATATTTATAGGAGAAGAGGATGAGATACAATTACTAAGAGAAGAAAGATTAGGAGTCCTATGATGTGAGGTACTTGAATCAAATATCCAAGTAGAAGGTGATATACCTGAGATATGCGAACCAAAACAAACCTGAATGAATGGTGGACATAGTAGAGGTATGAGACTGATCTGTAGTGGAAGTAGCAAGCATAGACTACATTTGCTCAATCATTGACTAAATAATACTAGGAGAAATAGTAGCGGGATCAGATGTAGAAGTTGCTAGTGCTATAGGAGCGCGAACAAAAGCCTGAAAAAATGATTGATGAGTAGAAGCTGAAGATGAAGTTTGGAGTCGAATCCACAGGGAACTATGATTGGTGTTTTTTAAGTAAGCAGTAATAGAGACCAAGTGACTTTGGAAATTTCGAGTGTTTGGAGTGGTGGAGTTTTCTTGATTAGAATAGAAGATTCTTTTTAAGAGTTATCTAGACAAAATATAAGATTCTCAAAATGAAACAGCCACCCTTTAGCTCAAGGATTAGGACATGTAATAGAGCATCCATTTTAATATATTTGTGCTTTATAACTCAATTAACTCCCGTGTTAACAGTAAGTTAATCGGAAGATAAAGATGAACTGTGAGAATTAAGCACATGATTCCGATGCCTTTCTAGAAATTTACAAGAATTGTTTGTGTCGGGACTTAACCCATCTACAAACAAGCAAGTGTTTCTACAAGGCATCCAACCATGGCATTAATGATCAATTCTTTGAATAAAGCGCAATGATGGTGGGGATTGAAAGATTTTTATGAAGAGCTAGCTGGGGTACTTGTATTGAACTAACGAATCTTTCTATGCAGGAGTCATCCGTATCATAGATTGAGCCCTTGGTTATACAAAGTACCTTAACTTTACTAGGTGCATTCAATCGTCCGATGAACAGGTGGAGTATAAAGCATTCAAGCATGAAAAAGTTGCACAAACATAACTTTCGGATGATCTTTACATATTCATCCCCTCTTACTAAAGAGTGAATGAGGAACTACTCACTTTCCATGGCCTTGCTAAGGCTAGAAGAGTGAGTGTTACTCATCCCTCTAAGTAGAGAAGTTACTAAGTAAGACAAACTAAACAAAGAGTTTTTCTTCAATGAAGAATAAGTGAATACTTTCCACCCTTCACGGCTTTGGTAAAGCTAGAAGAGTGGAAGAGTTTCACTCTTCTAAAAAAGAAGGATACTCAAGCAATGGAAGTGAAATACATGAACAATAAAAGTAGAAGAAAGTTAGTTGCTTTTGGAGGGTTTCACCCACAACCAACAAATGAACTACCTCTCTTGATACTTTGCAAGTAAAAGCAAGTACAATTACAAGGAGAGTCTAAGCCTCCATCATGGTTGTCACAACATGAATGTAAAGACTTAGCATAAGTAAATGAAAGACTTCAACTACAAAGGGAGTCTAAGCCTCCAACATGGTTTATATCAATGGAAAATGATAGCATAAACATGAAATATTCAAGAACTAGATTACTAAAACACTCTTACTTTACAAGAATAAAGATTGCTTCCTCCTTTCTCTA